CACAATCAACATAATTAGCTTAACTAGTGGAATGTGAAAGGAAGAAAAATAGTATAGAAACTAGTTGAATAATTAAAACAACCTGGCTCCCATCCACAGGAAATACATCCCAAGAATATTTGGACATATTTGATTCCAAATGGTGTACTAAAATCTAAATTTTCTGTTTTTAGTGTATGTGAGTACCTAAGGCAAAATTTAAGTAACAAACAGGAAGCCAAAAGGATTTAATAATAATAACTGATAATAAATAGCATAATTATAGCTGAGTTTGTTGGCATGCTAACAGTGCCGCAAGTAGGACGACTCAAGGCTCAAGGTCAGCCTGATGTTTGTGTACAGTGGAATCCTTTTTCAAAAAGCAAAAACAAAGACAAAGACACACATACTATCAAAAAGTTATGTGGAAAAGGTTTTCTCCCAAAATACCCTTTTCTACTGCCCTTTCCCTTTCTCCCGGGGTGCTATGAAATAATCTAGTGTCTCTCTGAGGAGCTGGAGGGGGATGCATGCTGGAAACATTTTGGGTCAGGGTTTGACCACGGCTTAAAGGCTCCTTAAACATAACATTGACAACCCAAGTGGCTCTGTGACTGGTAGGGTAGGGGCAAAGTATGCTGTATGGATGCATGAGAAAGGGCTGGCTCACTGTGTGGGAAGTGTGGAATGGGATGGTGGGATAGTCCATCCTGCTTCTCAGGATGGCGTACATTTTAAAACATATGAATTACTTCTGGTATTTTCCATTTAATAATTTGGGGCCATGTTACTGCCCTTTGGTAGTTGAAATTAAAGAAAGTTAGACCACGGATACAGAGTGATTGCTGAACAAATAATTGCTAGTAAAATTTATTATATTCAGATATAATTCAAAATTATATTCAGCAATGAAGTCATTTAGTCAATAAGTTTAAGTGGACAATTATAAATTGCATTCATTTCAAATATGATGCATGCGCCTGCCATTTGGCAGAAAACTGCAGACTTTATACATTTGTTTAACTTTTCAGGTTGTCGGGGCGTGACTAAGTGTATGTACTTCACCTCTACTGGGACTTTAATCTTGTTTGATAACTTAGCTATGCCCTTGAGCAAAGCAGAACTTCCAGTATGCAGCTGTCCACAATTGTTGTAATGTTTACACTTTCTAAAAAGTTTTCTGAAACAAACTCTGGCCTATGAAGTTTATCGCGAAGCATTTATAATACACAGCTGACGTCAATTCAGGCCGGCACACGAAGGCAGCTGTCATGTTTACAAATAAACAAATATTGAGGTCATTAAATCATCCTTCTCCCTCATGTTTGGGTAAATAGCATAATATAAATAGTTGAAAGCAGAATTTATTCCTATATTGAACCTCATGGTATTTCATAATGTTAAGTATCCTCCCGCCCCAGGTATTCTGTATTACTGAACCACGCAATGACCAAAGTATAGACATTTAAAAATACTTCGCTCTGTTACGTAACTCTCTTTGGTACAAGATGGAGATTCCGCCCACTGTCAGTTTTAAAGAGTGGATGTTTATAACCACGTGGACTGCTGATCATCCAACAACTGCATATGGGAAAGCATCGCTTAAGCCCTCACATGATTGCAACACTCCCCACAAATGAGGCCATTTCTGTCTTGTGTGTTTTATTTGCTTTGCCATAGGATAAGAGGCTCTCTCTGATGCTTAGTCACATGCTGGTTATCTCTAATCTTCGTCATGAACGAGGATCGTTTCCTGCTTGACAAGGGTGTCTGGGGGAGTTCACACACAAATTTGCAATTTGGGGACAATTGATGTATTATTTCTCAGCTGCCTTTTGCGTGCCGGGAAATCTCTTCAGCATTTTGCATTTATGAGACTCTCTGACCTCTGGAGTCTCCTATGATGTTTGTTCTGCGATCACCATGCAGACTAAACCACAATTCAAATGTTTTAAACTCCAAGGCCAAAGTATGAAAGCTTAGACTAAAAAATGGAGTTCTAGGCACTGAGAAATAAAACCATCATTAGCATAGTCAGGACTCTAGGGAAGTGTGGTTTTAACACAAAACTATACTTAAAGCACGGATTACAATTGTGACTCTCTCTGTCTCTCTCCCCACCATGCACACAGTTTAATATTTATCCACAGTTTCTGGCTCATAACTTCTGCCCAAAAGAAATCCCCAGGAAATAGAAATTTGAGGACCAAAGTGGCTCAGAGAAATTCTAGTCTTGTGTCACCTCTCTTTCTTGGAGCTGACCATAAAAAATCACAGGACCCATGCTCTATGTGAGACCCTCTCTATTCAGAGGGAATCTTCCCCAGAACCTGGAAGGAAGATGCTGCACAGAAAGGCCATACGGAGCGCTCACGCTGATATCCCTAGCTGGGGTTTTTACACCAAATCTATTAAGGGTAGTGTGCAATAGAGTCCCCATTAAAAGTCAAACAGAAGGGATTGGGGGTAAGGAACTGATGGATAGATGAACACAGGAGAGACCCAGTTGCCAACCTGTGGAATTCGATACTATCTCTTGGTAGTGTCAGAACTTAGTCTACAGGTCCCCAATTGGTGTCTGCTACAGAATTAATTACCTGCTTGTTGATGCAGAGAAGCTCTCACACTCATTGAGGCCACATCTGTATTAGTTGCGGTGTGGCAACAAAGAGAATCGCTTTAGCTTCCTCGTCATGGCAGCCTGTTCGTTTTTCTACCTAAAATCCTCAAGAACGAGAAGACACCTATCCATTGTGACGAATTCCTGATCTCATCACCCGCTGGAGAACCTCCTCTAAGCCTCCTGACTGTGTGTCCCATCTCAGCTGTCAGAGTCTGCTCACCACCACCCATAGCCGAAGGTGTCCTTCTCAATGCGCCCCATTCCTGTGTCTGGTCCTGATTGCCTGATCTATGAGAGTTCCCAGTAAACACGATGTGCCTCTGGCCCTGGTTTCAGTGTGAAGCTGCCACTGAATCAGTCCACATCACTCTTGAAGTCCATGCAGCAGTATTTTTATAACTATCAACACGAACCCAGTGTTTCCATGCTTTTATTTCCAGTGAGAATACTTCGACATTGGATTTGGTCGCTGGGCATTTACTAAGGCTGCCTTATATCTACATGGCAGAAAATTTTGTAAAGAGTTGAGAAAAAGCAGTGTTAAAATACCACTCATTTTTAAAAATTAAATAAACGAAAGAAATCATGAGCACCTGTAAATCAATACATATATGGTATAAAAAAACAAATCCAATGTGTACTGAGTATATTTTATCAGACATTTCTACGAATGTATCTCTGTTATAGTTAGTGTTTACTCTTGAATTCCATTAAAATATGTACTTTATTTTATTTAGTTTTGAGTGTTTGCCCTGCATATAGGTCTTTTCGACCATTGTTCATGTCTGGTGTCCATGGAGTTCAGAAGAGGGTATTGGATTCCTAAAACTGTGCTTACAAATGGTTGTGAGTTGACATGCGGGTGCTGGGAATCAAACCTGTATCATCTGCAAGAGCAACAAGTGCTCTTAATTGCTGAGTAATCTCTCTAGCCTACACTCCTGATTTCTTATGTGATAGCATTGAGTGACTTTTTCATAGGCCCTTTGCTCAAACGCCTGTGTTTCCAGTAATACATGCTAGAGCTGCAGGTGCTTCTCAAGGTGTTTCCCCCCTCACAAGTCAGTTCTACATAATTCTATCAGCTGGTTGCATTCTTGGGGGTGTGTATGTGCGCAAGAGAGAGTCCAAGGAGAAAATACGTTCACAAAGATTGAATAATGTTGTTAGCCTTCTGGTTTTCCATGCCAGGTTTATTCAACCTCATAAAAGAAATTTATTTCTTGTGTCAGGTCTTACTATAAAGTCAGGGCTCTTCCGGAACTCACTGTGTAGACCAGAGTGTCCTTGATCTCAACTCAATCATTCTACCTCACCTTAAGAAATACTAAGGCAGAGTGTGCTGCCACATCTGGCTTCTTACAAAAATTTTTAGTGGAATATTTTAAACGTTGGAAAAGACACGTGCTAAGCTCATTTGAAGACTGTTGGTAAGAATGAGATGGATCGATTCTAATGAGGAAGATAATTTACTAGCATCTTTCCTACTTGAGGGACAGCAGTTTTTAACCCCAGTGTGTGAAATGCTTAGGAGTTATCACTCCTCACCTTAGAGCAAAAAACTACAGAGAACTGCAGCCAACCACCAGGCAAATACTGCCACCATTCCAACTAAAGAAACTGGTAAATTCAGAGAGTCGTTGATGAAATACACTAACCTGAAGCCATCAGTAGCTGCAGAAGCAGCTGTTCCAGTCATTTCGGCAATGTTGCTGGAGGTTGTGTAGGTTAGGGCGCGAGTGAGACATTCTTCACATTTTAAGGTCCCCACCCTTTAATGGGTTTTATCTCTAGAAAACTCCGTGGTGTTCTTATGATTAGGGACGAAGGAAGAACAGGGGAAAGACAGCCATCCCTTTGGAATAGGCACAGAGATCTTTAAAGTCCATAGGAAAGAATTTGTTAGAACTTCATCCTACTATTTACTCCAGAAATGGAAGACCATCTATACCAGGCCATCTGTGCCAGGCCATCTATGCCAGGCTATTTATACCAGGCCATCTATGCCTGGCCGTCTATGCACGGCCATCTACGCCCGGTCATCTATGCCCAGTCATCTATGCAGACCATCTATGCCAGGCCATCTATGCCACTCCACCTGCAGAGGAAAAGCAACTTGGGATGCACTTAACCTGGGAATACGAATTCACTGAAAGATACAGTTGTAAGATTGTAGAGTACTTTCCCTTTTTTCCCATTATTTTATTCATTTATTTGGCTTTTCAAGACAGGATTTCTCCATGTAACAGCCCTGGTTGTCCTGGAACTCATCTTGTAGTTCAGCCTGGTCTCAGACTCACAGAGATCCGCCTACCTCTGCCTCTCAAGTGCTAGAGGATTAAAGGCGTGCGCCACCACTGTGCAGAGAGTACTTTCCTTCTCTTTCACTTCTATCATCATGTCGGTGGGTTCTGGTACAATTGTAGTGGATAGCTTGGAGATTTGTTTAAAAAGAAAGAGAGAGAAGGTATATAGACATTCACAGAGGAAGAATTTTTAGAGAGGCCCAATGTCAGTATGAGACACCAAACCAAACAACAAAAATAAACTGTAAGAATTTTAAAGGCCTTGACATTTACCCTCGCAGCCAACATTAGACACAGTCCAACCCTGGAGTCCAACCCTTTATTTATATGAATTTTCTGCTAAAATACCCTTACCACTGCCTCTGCTACCTGGTACAACCTTCAACAAAGATATATATCCATAAAAAATGCTTGATGGAAAAGGGGAGATATAAATGTGACATCTTGAAGGCACTCAGTTCATTGTAGGCAAGAGAAGCAGCACAGGCTTAAGATAAAGGAATGCAGAAAGGTTTATTGCATTCAGGACACATGAACTCAATTTGTAAAGTGATCTTTTCCAGAGAAAACAGGTTCATTATTGAGGCAGTACATACATATTCACACAGGGGAGATATCACTAAGAGCCAGGCACATGCCTGAGCATGCTCAATCCCAGGCCATAGTCACATGTTCAAAAGAAGAGATGGCTGGTATATACATTTCTGGACAAGAATTTAGCACAATAATCAGTAAAGCTTTATTCAGGTCATTTTAAGAATGAGCTAGGATAACTTTGTAATTTTGACTAGTTTCTTGTAAGTTTCTCAAAGACCCTATGATAAATATCACCAATCTTTTAAAGAGATACCACCTTCCCTACCTACTACCTAACAAGACCTCAGGAATGACAAGGCTTAAATTGCGATAGAGACTTCCAAGTAAAGTGGAAGATTAGAAGCCTCTTACGGCATGGTGAAAACAGACAGAATTATTAGTAATGGGCTCCATTCCTTTAAGAGACAATAGCTAAAATGGCATTGATTAAACCAGGTGAGATTATTTAGGGGGACTGGCAGGAACAGCCAAGAACTGGTGCCCAATGCAGCTATACTGCAGGCTTTGCTGGTGGGAACCACTGGTGAAGTGTCTTCCACTAACACACAGGCATGGAAGGAATAGTTGGCTCCCTTTATCATTCCTAAAACTGTGGAAAGAAAGGACCATCCAAAATCAGAAGACATGCTGAGAGTACCAAAGTCCTGAAAAGAGCCTCTTTAGATCGTTTTACAGCTAACATTCTAGGCGCAGAGAACAAGTAAAAATGCAGAAAGCTGCCAGAAAGACGCAAAAGTCACATACAAAGGTAAGCCCATCAGAATTCCAGCCTATTTCTCAACAGAAGCTCTCCAAGTTAGGAAGCATAGAATGATGTGTCCCAATACATTAGCTGCCATCCCAGATTACCATATGCAGCAAAAGTATCAGTAGCTGAAGGAGAAAGACATACTTTCCATGATGAACACAGATGAAAGGAATGTTTAACTGAGAAACAGGAACTATGGAAAATACTTGAAAGAATACTTCTCTCTGTAGAAGATGAACATATCCACAATGCTTCTAGAAAGCCTTGGGAAAACCCAACAGAATGGAACAGTCCACAGAACGATTCCTTAACCAAAATCCAACGTAAGATTTTATTCTTCTTGGGGGAAGGGCATTTATATCTCTCTATTTAGAGTTTTTGAATGCATGTTACTTCTTAGTTATCAGAACAGCATGAGTTTTCTAGAGAGAGAATCAGTTTTAAAGGAAGGAGCCCCCCAAGAATTCAGTCCCAGAGAATCTCTCACTCTCGCACCATGCTGGAACACTATTAAAAAAAAAAAAAAAGAACAGAAAAACATCAAGCCCTACAAAATCAGCACAATGGTGGGAGTTAACACACTACCTTAATTAATAACTTTGAATGATATTGTTCTCAGTTCTCTCAATCAAAAGACTAGTAGATTATACTTAAAAACAGATTAAACTATTTGTTTCCTTTAAGAAATGCACTTAAAAATCAATGAAAAATACACCCTCATAGTGAAAGGTTGGAAATGTGCCTTTTGAACAAATGGAATTGGAAAGCAAGTAAGTGTTGTAGTTTGAATAGCTGACAAGATCTATCCCTACCAAGATTAGTCAGCAGTAAAGAAGTCATTGCATACTCATTAAAAGAACAATCCATCAACAATTATAAATATATACACACAGAATATGTATTATCCATTTTCATATAACCAGAACTGGATATAAAGACATGGATTTATCCCAATATAATAATAGTGGTTGTCTTCAGTATCCAATTCTCACCAATAGATAGGTCACTCCAAGAACAACAACAAAACAGAAAAACATCAGAGCTAAATGACACAGTAAAAAAAATGATCTAATATGTAGATTATTCTCATTTTTTGTCTAAAAACTACAGATTACCCACTCCCAGGAGTTCTTGGAACTATTTATCAAAGATGTCATATGATAGGGCCCAAAGCAAGTTTCAACAAACACAGGAAAACCAAATAATATGTATTTATCTGAGCACATGATATGAAACCAGAACACAACAGCAAAAGCAGAATGTGCACATTTTGATGAAGACTGAACATACACCATTGGATGATGGACTGTTCAGTTTTGTTGTCAACTTGACACAAGCTTGGCTCACCTGGGAAGAGGGAACGTCAACTGTGAAAATGCTTCCAACAGATTGCCCTTGATTATTGACTGATGGAGGTGGGCAGTTCACTGCAGATGATGTCACCCTTGGGCAGGCAGTCCTAGATTGTATAAGCAAACAAGCTGAGCAAGCCATCGAGAGCAAGTTGGAAAACAGTATTCCTTCATAGTCCCTGCCTCAGTTCCTGGCTCCATGTTCCTGTTTTGAATTTCTGCTTTATATAAACTATAGGACTATATGCTGTAAGTTGAAATAAACCCTTTATCCCCCAAGTTACTTCTTTATATGTTTTTTTTAAATCACAGCAGTATAAAGAATATTAAGGAAAATGGTATAGTGGTTATTAAAGAAATCAAGTAGGAAATAAAACAATTTCTAGAATCAAATGAAAACAGAGCTATCAAAACCTATGGGATACAAGGAAAACAGTTGTAAAAGTGACTCTATGAGAGAAAGAGAGAGAGAGAGAGAGAGAGAGAGAGAGAGAGAGAGAGAGAAAGAGAGAATCTAAGATGAGAGTTAATAGTTAATATTAGTAGTTAAGGTTAAAACAAAATAACTGTATTTATCATCAGTCATTTGATTGACTGTTTTGCCTTAATTCCCATTATCAAGGAAAATCATCACTATTGCTATTCAGCAAGTTGCTGCCAACAAAACCAAATTACCTTGCACATTTAATGTTAGCCAATGAATCTAGAAATCCTGGAAAGACACAAACATATCTATGTGTGTTTCTGACAATTCAGTCATGAAAACCAGTAAGAACTTAATTACCTAAAGAGCACTAGCAATCAATGTGATATGATTGACATTTATAGAATATACCTCTCCAAACTGCAAAAATATGTGTGAAATGTTGTTGCAAGAGAGACCACACCAATTTGTTGTCAAGAGGGCCACTTGTTTGTTCCCTGCTGCCCAGACCCCTGAGATAATCACACAGAAACTATATTAATTAAATTACTGCTTGGCCCATTAGCTCTAGGTTCTTATTGGTTAGCTCCCTTTTCTATTAATCTGTGTATTACCACGAGACTGTGGCTTACCCGGTAAAGTTCCAGTGTCTGTGTCCGGCAGGGCTACATGGCTTCTCTATGACTCACCTCCTTTCTCCCAGCATTCAGTTTAGTTTTCCCCGCCTACCTAAGTTCTGCCCTATTAGCAGCCCAAGGCAGTTTCTTTAGTCACCAATGGTATTCACAGCATACAGAGGGGAATCCCACATCAAAATGTTCATCAAAATAAATTCTAGTGAGAGAGCATGATTGGAATTTATTATGACTTTAGAGTACTTAAAATGGGCACAGGAATTAGCCTTGAAAAATAACAACAAAAAGATAACTGAAAAATTCTCAAATATTTTATAAGTACATTTTCAAGGAACACACAGACCGAGGAAGGCCTAAACGAAATCTTAAAATATTTTGAACTAAATGAAAATAAACATTTTACTGCAAATTTGTAAGGTCCAGACAACGCAGTGTGTTGGAGGATGGGAGGAGTGGGTAACTACTGGCTTTTCATGGGCTTACTCAGGAATAGGAACCCAACTGAAGGTGGGCTGACTGGAGTCTTCAACTCTGGCTTATATGTCTCTCACCCCTTCTCTGGGACAGTTGCTGGTCCAGGCATTATTTTCATGGTGATAATAGAGGGGCCAAAAAGGAACCCCATCAGAGTCTCAAGTTCTGCTTATATCCCATTGGCCCAGTGTGCTTTAAGACTCAAGCCAGAATAAAGTGTAATGTATTTCCATACATTGAAGTGGAGATAACAGTGAATCTTTTAAAATAATAATTTACCCCAATAAAATCATACACAAATGTCCTAAACCTAAGTTCTTGGCACAAAAACTGGCACCTAGCAAATGTACCATTGCTTTGAGCCTTCTGTTGTTAGTCTCCGGAAGTAAAGCAGCCATCGTAGTTCTTGTTCTTCTTATAGTTCTTGTTGAGAAAACAAACAATGAATACAGAACAAAAACATGATGTAGAAGAGTCTTATGTATTTCTGTTGCTTTCATTGGCTAATTAATAAAGAAACTGCTTGGCCTGATAGGTCAGAACATAGGTGGGTGGAGTAGACAGAACAGAATGCTGGGAAGAAGGGAAGTGAGGTAGACGCCATAGCTCTCCTCTCTGAGATGGACCCCGGTTAGACTCGTCCTGGTAAGTCACAGTCAAGTGGCAACACGCATTAATAGAAATGGGTTGAATCAATATGTAAGAGCTAGCCAATAAGAGGTTATAACTAATGGGCCAGGCAGTGTTTAAATGAATACAGTTTCCGTGTAATTATTTTGGGTAAAGCTAGTCAGGTGGCGGGAACGCAGCCCGCCATTCCTTTTGCTACAAAAACAAGTGCTTAATGTTGGTGGCAATATATGAATATTTGTGATACACTCTCCAGGAAAAACACTCATCTTGCATATATACTACAACTGAATATACATCTATATCTGAAACAGAGATAGATAGATAGATAGATAGATAGATAGATAGATAGATAGATAGA